TATACACATTAATATTTTTATAAAAGAAAATTTTAGTTATATATATATATATATATATATATATATATAGAGAGAGAGAGAGAGAGAGAATGAGAAATATGGAGAACCTTGGTACCAAGTTGCTTAAAACAACTTGGTAATGATGTGGCCTAATCTTGACCCTACATCACACCTCGAAGATAGAGCCTCAACCACCCTTCACCAACTCCTATGTAAATGTAGGATCAAGATTAGGCCACATCACTACCAAGTTGCTTGAAGCAACTTGGTACCAAGTTTCTCCATTTTTCTCTCTATATATATATATATATATATTCCTCATGTCCAATGTCGCCGTTCACCAAACCCTGAAGTTTGCATCACCTAATCTCTCCCCTACCCACCATGAAAACATACATGTATAATAATAATTAGACACTTTAAGATCAAGATTAGGCCACATCACTACCAAGTTGCTTGAAGCAACTTGGTACCAAGTTTCTCCATTTTTCTCTCTATATATATATATATATATATTCCTCATGTCCAATGTCGCCGTTCACCAAACCCTGAAGTTTGCATCACCTAATCTCTCCCCTACCCACCATGAAAACATACATGTATAATAATAATTAGACACTTTAATCACCTCCTAATAAAAGCCCCAAAAACATCATTACCAAAATAATACAAATATGATTCTTAACAGCGAGGGCCCACTACAGCCTAACGTATTAAAAACCAATTAATTAACCTTAACAATTATATTATTAGGTGACAATCTTAATCAAGTCGCTGACCTCTTATGATCCTTTTTCTTTTGTCCAACCCTAAAACCCTGAGCCCCCCACCCTCCTCTGATGGAACCCTAACCCTAGAAATCTGCAGCGGGGATTGTGGGCTTACTTGAATCCGGAGCTCAGGTTCTGTTCTTCATAGGTACCAGCCAGTTGACCCTCGTCCTCGAGCTCTTTTTCTTTAGAAAATCGGTAAAATTTCCAGTTCAAGTTAAGGAAACTGATTCAATCTGTGAAATCTGTGATTTTTTTCCGGGTATTTTGATGCATTAGCGGGTAGTTACTGAATGGAATTGTTGAGGTGCACAATTTCCCCTTGAAGAAAGATTTTTTTTTTTCTTTTCCTTTTGTTTTGTATTGAAGAAACCATGGACACAGTGAAAATTTACTTCTTCTACCATTGAAAGTGAAAAAAAGGGGGGTCTTTTGGTGCATTAATGTAAACATGAATCATTCTCATCACTGTATTAATTCCTAAGTTTTTACTTGCCAGGAACCTGGCTAGGGGATTTTGGTGGATGCATTGATCAAGGGAAAATTTTGTGTTTTCCCCGCAATACCTACTCTGAAAAGACAGTAAGTAATGATTTTTCTTTTTGATTCTTTCTGATGGGGCATTTGATTTGATAACTTTGTTTTTGAATCATGTGCTTATAACCATTACGCGAACTTGCATGCCAATAGATATTCTAGTCACTAGAATTGCATTCCCATTTGTTTCATTTAATTCTTGACTGTGAATTGATAATGGTGATCGATTAAGAAGTACATTACTTGATGGATCATAATTAACATATGGGCCTAACGTGTGAGGGGGATGTTATCAATCTTTCTTCGTGCATAAGTTCTATGATGATATTAGACGGAAAGAGGGGAAAAAGGGAAGGGAAGGGAAGAGAGAAAAGAAGAAAAAAAATTGCAATTCTTAATGTTGCTCCTTGATCTCCAGAAGATTACAGTAATTGAAGCTATTCTTTTACCACCTTCAAGTTCCTACGTACAATAATTGGATGGAAGAATGTTATAAGTATTGACATTCTTTATTTTATTTTTATGAATAAGGATTAATAGGCTAATACTCTCCCTTTAGTCGTTTTTTTTAATTTGTGGGAGGGAAGTAAGACACTCTCTTATCTTAGAAGTTGGATTGATAGCTGAAAAGTATAGGATGATGAACAGTTATATTTGATCTCAGAATTACTTTAGATCTGTCTATGGCAAAGCATAGCCCAAGTCCCATTATTTCTCATCCCCTTATTGATGAGAATAAAGATCATATCAACTGTTGAGATTCCTACCTGTAAACTTTCATGAATCAAGCTATATTGAGTGATGACTAGCTGTCTCTGGCACATTACAATTGCAAGAACTCCTGGTTTAGCTTGGAGTGGGAAGAAAGCTGATTGCTTTGTACATAACTACATATTGAATTCTACCTGTATCATGAATCAATTGATCTGAGTTCTTTTAATTTTTCTGTCTTATAAACTCTGAGCATTGTCAATATGGAAGTCTCCAATATATTACAGTTTCGTGCTTAGTACATTTCTAAATCCAGGAGAATCTCGCAAAGGTTCAATTGAAACAAATTCATCTGCTGATTCATCTTTCACTGCCGAAATATATCATTACATTATTATTACTGCTTTTAATATTATTTTTCCAGGCTCGTTATAGCCCATTTTACACAGTATTTTACAGATCAGTATCTGCTGGTTTTCTGCTCAAAGAAAGCCAAGACAGCTGCCTCTTTACCGAAGGCAGCTATGCTACGCACAGGATCTAAGGAAAGCCAAAATCATAACAACAGCAACAACAATAACAACAGCAACAACAACAGCAACGACCAGAAGGTTTATCCCCAACCCATGGATGAAGCTGTAAAACCTATAACAGAATCAATGGACAGTCTTATATCGAGAATCTTCAACAATGTTTCATCTCTAAAGGCAGCATATATCCAACTCCAGGATGCTCATACTCCTTATGACCCAGATAAAATCCAGGCTGCTGATAAACTAGTCATCGAGGAGCTCATGAAGCTTTCAGAACTAAAGCATTCTTATAGAGACAAGAACCCTAGACCTGCATCAACATCGCCTCAAGATTCTCCTCTAGCTGCAGAAATCCAAGAGCAGCAAAGTTTACTAAAAACCTACGAGGTAATGGTGAAAAAGTTCCAGTCTCAAATTCAGAACAGGGATTCTGAAATTATCCAACTACAGAAACAAATTCAGGAATCTAATCATAGAAAGATGAAGCTCGAGAAGAAACTCAAGCAAAGAGGCTTACTCTCCAAGGAACCCGAGGAGCTTGGACAAGAGAACCATTTCTTCTCAGTTGAATTAACCCCGGCTCTTTTCTCCTCTGCTGTAGAAACTGCTTACAAGTCCATCCATGATTTCTCAAAACCTTTGATTAACATGATGAAAGCAGCAGGGTGGGATCTTGACGCAGCAGCTCACGCCATTGATCCTTCAGTAGTTTACACGAAAAGGGCTCATAAAAAGTACGCCTTTGAGTCTCATATTTGCCAGAAAATGTTCTGTGGGTTTCAAGAAGAAAGCTTTTCTGTCAATACGGGAAACCTCAATGTTTCTTGCGAGAGTTTTTTCCATCAATATCTTGCCGTTAGAGCTATGGATCCATTAGATATACTCAGTCAAAGCCCAGATTCCATATTTGGGAAATTTTGCCGGAGCAAGTACCTAATGGTTGTGCATCCGAAAATGGAGAATGCCTTTTTGGGGAATTTGGATCAAAGGAATTATGTGACGAGTGGTGGGCATCCGAGGACTCCATTCTATCAGGCTTTTCTGAAGCTTGCTAAGTCCATTTGGTTATTGCACAGTGGGCATCCGAGGACTCCATTCTATCAGGCTTTTCTGAAGCTTGCTAAGTCCATTTGGTTATTGCACAGGCTTGCTTATTCTTATGATCCCAAAGTCAGGGTTTTCCAAGTGAAGGGAGGGAGTGAATTCTCAGAGGTTTATATGGAAAGTGTAGTGAAGAACTTAGCTTTAGACGAGGAAGAAGAAAAGCCCAGAGTTGGTCTCATGGTGATGCCTGGATTCATGGTCGGTGGAAGTGTGATTCAAGCTCAAGTCTATCTTTCTGGTGTTAAATCTTCTGAATGATGAGAGAGAGATCAATTGTTGCTTTCAATTACTGGCAGCATAGATCGTAAGAAGCGCTTCATATTATGTTCTCCGGTTAAAGTTGTGCAAGTTGCGAGAGATCGAAAGTGAAGATATCTTAATCTAAACCCGTATACGATGATGATACATCCGTGTTTGAGTAATATGGGAGTCCAGGAGTTCAGGAGGTTATCGTCATATTTGCTCGTTGAGTACTGAATGTATTGCTATTTTCTTGTACTGTACATGGTTATGTATTATGTAATGTTCAGTGCTCATTTATAGCTAACACTTTTTTGTTAGGTTTCGTTTGGATATCATGATGTTTTTCTTGTTGTGTTTTCGTTAAAAAAATACCATGGTGTTGTGTTCTCTTTAAAGTGTTTTCAAAACACTATGTTCATTGTTTTTTGTCAACACTAGTTTGACCCGTTACAACAATAGTAGTAAACATATTATTAATATATTATTTATTAATTATAATAAAATGTATTATAATTAAAATATTATAATATTTGTTTTATATTATTATAATATTTAAAATATTAAATATAATAGAATATAATATTGTATAATGTTTTATGATATTATATTATACTTTAATGTGACATATTATGTTATAATTATTACATATTATTTTCAAATAATAATATATTTAATTATTTTGGTATATCAATTTGCTATTGTTGTGTATTATATAATATTTTTTATCGTGGTTGTTTTATATCTTGTTGATTGCGGGTTGGCTTTCAAGTTTGCGGAGATCGTAATACGCAGGGAGACTAAAATTCCCAACAAAAACCACACAACATGAACAAGAATGAGTCACATTCGTAATAATGTGTGGGGATACCGTATACTGGGTAGGAAACCAAAAAAAAAAAGAAATTGGCGGATATACATCATAGAGAATTCTGCTTTTGTGGGATGAGATTATGTGGCTCATGAAAAGCACACCTTATCGCAGGCATGTCCAAACGGGCCGGCCCGGCTCGAAAAACTAGGTCCGGACCGGAAAATCAGGGCCCAGACTCATGGTTATGTTACCAATATAGGTATGCCTTGATAAGAAAAAAAAATCATGTCCATGTCTGTCAAAATCGGATATAGATCAGATAAAAGAAAATTCAGAATGTTTTCGCATTCTCAATTGCTGAGTTGCTACTCAGGAGGTTCACATGGTCTCCAAGTTGTTCCCTGGGGTTCATCCATCAGGGCAATGCCCTTTGCATACAGCTCTTTTCGAATCATGTCAGATTTGTCATATTCTTTGTTCTTTCTTGCTGAGCTTCTCTCCTCAATCTTCTCCTTAATCTGTTCCTCTGTAATCCCTGCTCTCTTAAGCGCAAGCCTTCTAAGTTGCTCCAAAACCTGGAAAATATTTAGACGTTTAAAAGAGTGTTTTCGTTATTAGCGATAAATTTCTTCGAACAAATGGCAAAATACCTCAGAACAAGGGGAAGAAGACCTAAGGCCTAGAGTACCAAGAACATCTTTGACTTCTTTTTCATATGCAATAAGATCTTTAAACAACCGTTGCTGCTGCTGCTTTCCCTGCAGATAGTTTAGTGATTGAGATTGTAAATTATGAGAACTCCATAGCCTGCCAAAGGATGCAATTAGCAAAATTATCAGATCATAAATCCTTTAGTAGACAGTGAATTTGATTAGTGATGGCAAACTTGACCCAAACCCATTTCCCCACCCACTAAATGACCCTTAAATAGTTTGTATCAAATTATTTGATACAAGATTTTTCTATTAAAGATAAATGGGTAATAAACGGGTGCGTATGTTTCTATTAAAGATAAATGACTCATAAATAATTTGTATCAAATTATTTGATACAAGATTTTTCTCAAAAAAGGGTTATTTTCACTTTGATGCCCTAAAGTTCTAACCTATTTTCAAATTTTAGTATCCTGAAGTTAAAATTTGCCCATAAGGTTTTTGACCCTTTGAAGGAGCATTAACATTGTTAACGGTGAAGGCATGAAATGGTATTTCCACCCATTTATTTTGACCCTTTGAAGGAGCATTAACATTGTTAACGGTGAAGGCATGAAATGGTATTTCCACCCATTTATTACTGTTTTTTTTTAACATGCTACCCAAATTTCCACATTTCGCAACACTGCATTCCCAAAATTCTGATAAGCAAATATTCTTTTGCATATGGGTCAGGAGAAGAAACCAAATGGAGAGGAATCCACGAAGGATTCTCTCTTAAATAGAGGAAGAAAAAGGAAAAGGAGGCTTCGAAAGAATCCTTTTAAATCGAAGTATATACTATGTAAATTTAATCAAATGATAATCGCATGATCGAAGTTAGATGGAAACTCCAACGGTCACGTAGTAAAAGGTATCATCATAGTGTAATGTAAGTGAAACTTAAGGATATATTTTTGACATAATTAAATTTCAAGCTACTAAAGAGAACGGGAAGAGTTCTAGAGTGAAGATATCTCAAGCAGACAGAACAGTTTACCCTGAACTTTTTCAAAGTGCCATTTATTGCCTTCAGTAGGTTCTCAAGCTTATCCAAAACAAATAGCTGTATCCAGAACAGTTTACCTTGTTTTAGTGTATCCATTTATTGCCACTTCACAATCATGTAGAGTCTGCATATATTTTGATTATGTTCTTACGTATGTATACGAAAAGATAACAAGAAAGTATTACATTTACCATTTCTTCATCTTATATGATACCATCCCATGAACAATAATTAATACTTGGTTCTTTACAAATTTATCAAAATTTTGAGATATATGTATATATTTTTTATCGACTATCGATTCACGCATGATTGATATTTCATACTATTGATGATACCAGGATAATGTAATTGAGAATGTGTTCAATTCGTGCAGGGTTGTCAGAGATGATGATGTTTCTCTTAGAATAACACACTGTGGAGTATCACCATACAGTTTTGAAGCATAATTGAGAAATACTCACTTATAGTTTTAGCATGATATTATCTCCAATCACATCATTTCATAGTTGGAAAATACTCTCAACATGAGAAAAACTTTACACGACAATTGGAGTACAGGGCTTAATCATTCCCGTAATTTTTTTTTCGTTTCACCTATACATATTTGGACCATACCAATGCATATAGTTGATCTCTATGTATGCACTGAATCATTGGGTGAGTGACATAAAAGATTACTAAGTACATAAATCCTTTTGGTACATGTATTGATTTCTTTAATCAACATTTCAGGCATGAGATTGTTGGAATTGTCACAGAGGTTGGTTCCAACATCAAACGTTTCAAAATTGGTGATCACGTCGGTGTTGGTACATACGTAAATTCATGTAGAGATTGCCAATATTGCAACGAGAAACAAGAAGTTCATTGCTCAAAAGGATCAGTTTTTTACTTTCAACGGATTAGATTCGGATGGAACAATCACAAAAGGGGGATATTCAAGTTACATCGTAGTACATGAGAGGCAAGGATTTCTTCTTCTCCGATTTATAAAGTTTAGGGGAGTTTCGTGAAATTTAACACTACTGAGTTCTTTACCCCATTATGAATCAACAGGTATTGTTACATTATACCTAGCGGTTATCCACTGGAAAAGGCAGCACCATTACTGTGTGCAGGAATTACAGTGTATTCACCTATGATACGTCATAATATGAAGCAAGCGGGTAAATCTCTTGGTGTTATTGGTCTTGGTGGCCTAGGTCATATGGCGGTAAAATTTGGAAAAGCGTTTGGTTTAAAAGTTACTGTTTTTTGTACTAGCAAATCCAAAAGAGAGGAAGCTTTGAAACTTCTCGGAGCAGATAGATTTGTTATATCATCAGATGTTCAGGAAATGCAGGTACGTTTATCGTATATCACAATATTTTGATCCCAACTGTCATGGATGTTTTAGATTTTCCATTGTTCTTCATGTACTTTTTCGTGTTTTTCATTTCAGTCTTTAGAAGGTACCCTTGACTTCATTGATGACACTGCTTCTGGTGATCACCCTTTTGATCCTTACAGGTCACTCTTGAAAATTTATGGGGTTATGGTGCTTGTGAGTTTTCCTGGTGAGATCAAAATGAGCCCTGCAAGTCTTAATCATGGTATCATTTTGGCTCTGAATCTTGATCAACTCCACTTCTTCGAGCTTGTTTCTATAATTTTTGGATACTAAATATCTATTGAATATTTGTGACAGGTGCAAAAACTATTTCAGGGAGCACAACAGGCGGTACAAAAACAAAAGATACACAGGAAATGCTAGAGTTTAGTGCAGCCAACAAGATTTTTCCAGAGGTTGAAATTATTCCGAGTCATCAGTATATAAATGAGGCACTTGAGAGAATGATCAAGGAGGACGTGAAGTATCGGTTTGTGATTGATATTGAGAACTCCCACAAGTGAAAATTTGATATTTCGATGTCTACCTTGGAAAACATACCAAAAAATTATCCATCGAGTGAATAATACTACAATGGTATTTGTTTTAAATACTTATGGAGTGACAGATCCTACAATAGTATACAAAAGATACGTCAAACTTTCAATGAAGTTTTTGTTTTGGATACTATCCTTTATGCCTTGTGTAAACATTCTTTGGTCTTCGATGTGTTGCCTCTCATGACTCAACCTGTTGCTCTACTATTGAGTGGATTTCAGTGGTACACAAAGCTCAGTAAGAATCATTAGCATATAAATTAAACTGACAGTTCTCCAATATCTTTGGACCAATCCTAGCGTATGAAACTCACATTCATTGACAAAAAAGAAAATGGTAACTACTTTCGTGTTGCTTCACAAAACAACGCTGAGAGATTCAGCCATGGAGCATATTTCACATCACATCCTCAGAAATCCATTCAGGATACATCTTTCTAATATTAGAAGCCACCTCCTAAACTTCTGACGAAGAAAATAAATTGGACATCAAAATTTTTATATATAAAAAAATCGAAAAGGCTCAAACTTCTCATGCACTATCAAGGCAAAATTTAAGGTATTCACGTCCCAAAAGCTTATTCGATATAATTCACATGATGCAGATTTCAGGAAATCCAACTGCAACAAAAGATTAAGCACCATATTTTTGTCAAATACAAAACAAAACGCAGTTAAGAAACTCTGATATCAGTAAACTCCATCCAAGAGTACTATGAAATATGGCTGACAAAATTAAGTGGCCTCCAAGAACACTCTTAACGACCGACAAACTTCTTCAGAAGGGACGCGAATCCCATAGTAGGCCAATATCTGAGGAAAGATGCATCTTGCTTAGGGATGAACTGTAAAGATGGACCTTGCTTAGTGATTAGTTGTAAGGTTGCCCCTTGATTAGGCGTTTCAGAGGACCTACAAACATCATTAAACACAAAAACATCATAATGGGTTACGCTAATGATGACCATTAATGCAAAAAGGCAAGAACATGAAAGTGCTATGCAAGTTCTTTGAACTTGGTGAAAATAAGCAGAATGTGAACATTGTAAAACCAACAGGGCCATCACTTGAACTACTTTAAGCAGGATTCAGACGTACAACTGCATGTGGGTACTAACAAAAGGTAAGTGTAAACATTAAAACTGAGATGAATAATTGGAAAAGGATAATATAGAGGCCCTATGTAGAAAATCTATATAAAGAGGAAGCAGAATGCAACATTTATCCCATTACAAATTTTGAACTTGATAATTGCATTGTTAATGTACTGATTCGCGATTAAATTAAATCGATTTAGTAGTTAGGTTGCATCAACAATTTTAACAGTTTGCTCCTTTTTTCCTTTTTTTTTTTTTTTGATTGCACCAGTTTTTATATATTGTTTGCATTGACTAAAGATTAATAGTGGATACACGTCGCATTTTGTTTCCTCACAATATGATTTTCTATAGAGAGCCATAGATATGATTTTTTTTCAAGTAATTCCACCATTTGTTTGGTTACCGGAAATTTGGCGAACAAAGGGAAATACGAGAAAATTCTGGCTACAAATTTCATTGAGGTTATTGAACATATCCCTTCTAATGTGTATGAATCTGTATATTTTTCAGTTCTTTTTTTTCTCGCTACTACACCATTCCATTTTTATCAATTTGTAGAAAACAAAAACAGCCTGAAAGCGCACAATCAACAATAAAACCTTTGGGTTCAGCGCAGCTACTAACTGAATCAACAATATGTTGAAATGACATTGACACCAATGACAACTACTATTACAACGACCACTTATGATATTATGATAATCATATGGATATTATAAGAGTTCTCATGATATATACAACGACCACACCCAGGATTTTGTGTGACTTTTAATACAAAGATGCTATATGGCCCCATTTAGTGTTTGTCTTACCAAAGATATACTCAACAAATTAATGAATATCCTCTAACCAAACCAAGAATGAAACTACCAAACATCGAAGCACATAAAAAATACAAATATGCATTGAAGAATATGTGTACTTGCAAGCTTACTCATAAGCTAGGGTAGAATAGCCTTGTCGCTGCTTATGCTTAGGATTGGCAGTGCATAATACATAAACTCTCCCGCGGCGTTTCACGGTTTTACAAAATTCGCACATCTTCTTCACTGATGAACGAACCTTCATGGCTAAATCTGAAAATTTTCAAGGTTATTGACTATGAAAGATTAAAAAAAAATTCAATAACAGTTAGAGCATCCTCGAATTTATTCAAATTTTTTAAGAATTAATGTCTAACAATCTTCAAGCTATCAACAGAACTTATGTCTCGTTTGGTACGCAAGAATTATGTCAAGTGAGAATGGAATAGAATGAACGTGGGAATGGAATGCTCACTCCCATTCTCACGTTTGAATAGATTAGAGTATGACGCTGGAATGACAAAGATTGGGATGGGCTACTAATAGGTGATCAGGACATACTTAGAAGTTATTATAATTTTTTTATTCCCATTTACCAACTCATTGGAAATATTCATTTTCAAATAATGCAGGAATTGATGAGAAGTGAGAATGAGAAGTTAGAATTGGCATTGTCGTGTGTTTGGTAAGCATGACTGAGAAGTTGGAATTGGCATTTCCGTGTGTTTGGTAAGCATGAATGAGAAGTTGGAATTGGCATTCCATTATCAGTCACATTCCCGCATACCAAACGAGGCGTTAAAGCGTCGTTCATATGAAAATGTTCCTATAACATCCTTTTATTGATTTTGCCCTACATACAATCTCATGGAACACAAGCAAAATAAATCTGGATTTATAGCTAAAATTACACGAAAATTCCCTCTTTATTATCAATAATATCTCCAAGCCAAGTCTTGAACGTGAATCGTGAGTGATTAGCGATCTAGGGTTTGATCGATTAGGGTTTAAGTGTGACCACCGGTCCAATAAATAATCAAGGCCGGGTTGAAAGAGAAGATGTTTTCTGGCTTGCGGTGGCATTATCTTCTCTTTAAGGGGGTTTAGTAGGGCTGCGCAAAAATATAGGTATCCGAGAAATATATGTGTCCATATCCGTTAAGATTTATAACCGATATGATATGGGAACAAATAGTATTATGTAGTTAAATATTTGAATCCGTATCAGAAATATCTGGATATATATTGGTCATACTGTTGCAACAATTTTAATTATTATATTAATGGCTTTAAGATTAATTTTGATGATCAAGATTTCTAATCTTAGCTTTTCAGTTATTACGAACATATTAATAAACTCTCTTGTATCATGTGAACTGTATTTTTGAATATTACCTAATTTTCTCATATCTGTTTTGTATCTGCATGTCTATTCTCTAATGTATCTTCATGCATATTTGTTTCCGTATCAAATTTTAGCGAATATGGATATGATTTTTTTTCTTACGGAGGCATACATATCCGTATCAGTATCCGTGATTGGTTAGCGGATACAGATATGGTATGTATCATTCTAATAGGTGAATTACATTAAACCCTCGATAACTTTCAAAATACCTTTCTAAATTGTTTTCTAACCCTATATGGGGCTTAACTGTGAAATGTAGAAAGTTATTGGGGTTTTAGTGTGCTTGTGAAAGTTCATTGGGGGACAGGGCGACAGAATGATTAATGGAGGCCCATTTGGCGATAGCGGATCGGGTATCTACTACTCGAATCGGGGCGGGTTGAGGAAATTAAACCGCCGCAAGCCCTTCTCCGGTTTTCGCTTCTCACTTCTTCTCAAATCTTTGGTCGGCGACGTTTCATTGCTCGAGATTCAAAAGCTCTGCAGGTTTTTATCTTCACAATTAACTCTCAATTTTATCTTTTTTTCTCTTCATAGTTTAATTTGGATACATGTTTTTATTTCGAAGATAAGAAACATTTGATTATTTATTGGACCGGTGGTCACACTTAAACCCTAACCGATCAAACCCTAGATCGCTAATCACTCACGATTCACTTTCAAGACTTAGCTTGGAGATATTATTGATAATAAAGAGGGAATTTTCGTGTGATTTTAGCTAAAAATCCAGAATTATTTTGCTTGTGTTCCATGAGATTGTATGTAGGGCAAAATCAATAAAAGGATGTTATAGGAACATTTTCATATGAACGACGCTTTAACGCAATTAGTATAAACGAACCCGATTGCTATTACAGATCCGCAAGGGATGAGATCAGATTTTGTGCAAAATTATCTGTACAAGGCATAAAGAAGTAATCTTTAGCAATTAGTATAAATTAAAAATCTTACATTTTGATGACTCGAGAGGGAAGACAGTCGAGGGAGGAGTAAACGGCGATCTCCGAGGGGCTACGAGCTTCAAGGGATGACGAACTTCGAGGGAGGAATCGACGACGAGCTTCGAGGGAGGAGTCGACCACGAGATTCGAGGGACGACGAGATTCGAGGGAGGAGCGAACGACAAGCTTCGAGGGAGAACAGTGAAAACCCTAGCCCTAATATCCACTTGGAGTCGGATCTGAAGGAGGAGGCTGCTAGAAGCGAAGGAGAAAAAGTGAACAAACCCACTCTTTACTCTTACCCATTTTATATGGGTAGCATTTGTAAATAAAAATTTAGATAAGTAATATTTACAATAAGTTTAATTAATAGGACTAAAATGTAAAAATGTATCGAATTGTTAATTAATTAACTACCGAATTGAACATACGTTTGATTAAATTCTAGTTATTTATATAAGCTGAACATTGAAAATTATACCCGCCAGTTAGCCCTTGTCCTCAAGCACTTTTTCTTTAGAAAATCCGTAAATTTTCCAGTTCAAGTTAAGGAAATTGATTCAATCTGTGAAATCTTTGATCTTTTTCGGGTATTTTAATGCATTACATCATCTCCAACCCATTGCACCAAAATGGTACAAATTTTGCATCAAAATGGTGCAAAAGTCACATCAAACAGTAATACATCTCCAACCCATTGCACCATTTTTTGCACCAAAAAAAAATATTCTCAGTATATTCTCACTTTATTCCCTTTTATCTATTTTTATATTAATTGAGAGGTAAAAACAAATATTTAAAAAATTTTAAAAAAAGTGAACAGTAATGGGGCGGATGAACAGTGCGACGCCATATTTGGTACAGCACTGTTCATTTGCACCAAAATGGAGCAGAAAATGGGGCTGGATTGGAGAAGGAACAGTGCAACAAAAAGCACTGTTTGCACCAAAATAGGGCTGGGTTGGAGATGCCCTTAGCGGGTAGTTACTGAATGGAATTGTTGAGGTGAACAATTTCCCCTGAATGAATCTTTTTCAGGAAGAAAGATTTTTTTTTTTTTTTTGAGGAAATTGCTTCCAACCCCCAATTTCCTTGCAAGTATTCCCTCCACCCTCAAGACTTTTTCAACGCTCCCAAAACCCCCAAAATTGAACTCACTGAGCCCAAAACACAAAATCTAAGAATTTTAAACATGTGAAGACTATAATACCCTTTCTTTCTCTCTCTCTCTCTCTCTCTCTCTTTTTTATGATGTTATTGTGATAATTTGAAATGTATCAGAAGACTATAATACCCTTTCTTTCTCTCTCTCTATTTTTCATGATGTTACTGTGATAATTTAAAATGTATCAAATATTATTCTCTAAAATTATGATGATTTCAACTAGAGTTGTGAATTTAATCACATGTTCTCAACAAAATTCGCCTATATCCAAAGAAAATTGATTGGTTTTTATTCTTCGCACGTATCTTCTTTAATATCCATTACAAGCAAACACAAATTTAGTTATGGGTTTCTTAAAATCCATTATAGGTATCACGATTAATCCACAAACCAAACAGCCCTTAAGTACTATTAAGTTTCCATTTGCAAGGCAAAAAAATTAAAATATTTTATTAATATTTTCCCCTAATTTCCATATATAGAAATTAGAATTTGTAGGAAATCTCTACTTATCTCTCCAAATTTCAGATGCCAAAATGCTACGCTTACATGATGTGACGTAAATTAATAGTGAGTTAAAAGGAAATGAGAAAAGTTGGTAAAAGTTTTATTAAAATTTTATTCAACCAAAGGAAAGCGAAATGCTATAGAGTTAAATTAACAGCTGGTAAAAATCAAGAAGTAAATAAATTACAATATCATCTAACAACTCGGATAAAATTGTCTCAACCTATATGGATAACAGTGAAAGACAAAATGTATGAACTCTCACTGTGACTAGTTTAATGGACTCTCGGTGCAAACGTGTCGGATATGGATCAAATATGACAGTTTCGATATCCATATCCACTTACCAACCAACTCATGGTTATGTTACCAATATAGATATGCCTTGATAAGAAAAATATCATATCCATGTCTGTCAAAATCGGATATAGATCAGATAAAAGAAATTTTAGAATGTTTTCACATTCTCAATTGTTGAGTTGCTACTCAGGAGGTTCACATGGTCTCCAAGTTGTTCCCTGGGGTTCATCCATCAGGGCAATGCCCTTTGCATACAGCTCTTTTCGAATCATGTCAGATTTGTCATATTCTTTGTGCTTTCTTGCTGAGCTTCTCTCCTCAATCTTCTCCTTAACCTGTTCCTCTGTAATCCCTGCTCTCTTAAGTGCAAGCTTTCTAAGTTGCTCCAAAACCTGGTAAATATTTAGACGTTTAAAAGAATGTTTTCGTTATTAGTGATAAATTTCTTCGAACAAATGGCAAAAACTCCGATCATACCTCAGAACAAGGGGAAGAAGACACAAGGCCTAGAGTACCAAGAACATTTTTGACTTCTTTTTCATACGCAATAAGATCTTTAAACAACCGTTGCTGCTGCTGCTTTCCCTGCAGATAGTTCAGTGATTGAGATTGTAAATTATGAGAACTCCATAGCTAGCCAAAGGATGCAATTAGCAAAATTATCAGATCATAAATCCTTTAGTAGACAGTGAATTTGATTAGGGATGGCAAACTTGACCCAAACCTACCCACCCGCCAAATGACCCATCCAAACCCACTCATTTAGTTAAATGGGTGTGTATTATTTCTATTAAAGATAAATGGGTCATAAATAATTTGTATCAAATTATTTAATACAAGATTTTTCTCAAAGAAGGGTTATTTTCACTTTGATACCCTAAAGTTCTAACCTATTTTTAAAATTTAGTATCCTGAAGTTAAAATTTGCCCATAAGGTTTTTGACCCTTTGAAGGAGCATTAACATTGTTAACGGTGAAGGCATGAAATGGTATTTCCACCCATTTAATAATGTTTCTTTTTAACGTGCTACCCAAATTTCCACATTTCGTAACACTGCATTCCCAAAATTCTGATAAGCAAATATTCTTTTGCATATGGGTCAGGTGAAGTAATTAAATGGAGAGGAATCCACGAAGGATTCTCTCTTAAATAGAGGAAGAAAAAGGAAAAGGAGGCTTCGAAAGAATCCTTTTAAATCGAAGTATATACTATGTAAATTTAATCAAATGATAGTCGCTTGATCGAAGTTAGATGGAAACTCCAATGGTCACGTAGTAAAAGGTATCATCATAGTGTAATGTAAGTGAAACTTAAGGATATCATTTTGACATAATTAAATTTCATGCTACTAAAGAGAACGGGCAAAGTTCTAAAGTTAAGATATCCCCAAAGAAAAGCTTAAACAATTGAAAAGAAGAAAAAAGCACTAAACAGGGTCTCAAGCGGACAGAACAATTTACCTTGAACTTTTTCAAAGTGCCATTTATTGCCTTCAGTAGGTTCTCAAGCTTATCCAAAACAATAGCTGTATGCAAATCATCACACATAGAACCGAGGAAATCTTCATGGAATTCCTTGACTAGTTTCTGGGCTTCAGCAGAGACTTGAGTTTTAGAGTTTATTACATCACGAAAAGGTGCTACTGCCACTTCACAATCATGTAGAGTCTGCATATATTTAAAAAGGCATTATAATGCAAGCTCTATGTAAAACAAAACAGTAAAATATAAAATATAAGAATACCTGGTACATGTAAAAGACACGGTCAGATGCTGTGTCCAGCTGCCTATCAGAATAATTAACATCTGACCGATAATGGGTGCGCATTAAGAAAAATCTTAGAGCCAATGGATGATAACTTGCAATAATCTGCAACAAAACAATGTTTATTAACAGAAATAAAAATGCACTGAAAATCAAACACAGTTCATGAATCCTTACATCACGAATTGTGAAAAAGTTGTTATCTGATTTGGACATCTTTTGATTGTCCTTGTTAACAAAGCCATTATGCATCCAATAATTTACTTTGCTCTCAGGACAAGCAGCACGACTTTGTGCAATTTCATTTTCATGATGAGGAAATATCAAATCCATTCCTCCACCGTGAATATCAAATGATGGGCCTAAGTAGTGCGAACTCATGGCACTGCACTCTATATGCCATCCTGGTCTTCCGGGGCCCCACGGGCTTTCCCAACTTGGCTCTCCAGGCTTTGCAGACTATTACAATGCAGTACCAGTTAGATACAGGATGACTATTGACAAAGTATGAGAAAAACAATGACAAGAATCTTACTTTCCATAAAGCAAAATCTGCAGGATTTTTCTTTCTTGTATCAATGGTGACACGTCCACCTCCACCTGCACGGTTGTCATCCAGTTTCCTCCGAGACAAGCAGCAGTAATCGGGAAAGTTGTCCACAGAGAAGTAGACATCTCCCTCAACGACGTAGCCACAATTGTTATCAATAATCTGCAAGGGAGCCACAGACAAGGTCTGAATAAAAAAATAAGATTTCGTGCATGTATGCAATTGATAACAAGTTTACAGGAATCATTTTTTATTCATGTTGCACATATGATGAAATATGTTGATAGAATTGTGCAGCTCATATGAAAAGTTGGCTGAGACGCCTGTGAACGTACTCAAAATGGAAATGAGATCTTAGCATACAACAAAAACAATGTGAAACCAACAGAACTGCAGATGGGAGGGATCCAAATTTGCAACTACAGATAGAAAAGATGAAAAAACCAAGAAAATGGCATTTATGCTTTTCATGAAACAACTAACAACTCCCTCAATAATGCAGTGGCACAGAATTAAGATATCTTAGCCATGGCAGATCAAATGCACATTGTCATGTTGCCTTTAAATATTCCCAAATAAGTATATGGAGGGGGGGAAATTACCTTAGTTATCATATTTTTTATCTGGTCCATGTGATCAGACACACGAGGCTCATGTGTTGGTGGCAGGCATTGCAGTTCAGCCATATCCTTCAGGAATTCATTGGAAAACCGGTTACTCAAACTTAATGGATTTTCACCTGCCTCGTTTGCTCTTTTAATAATCTGCAGACAGCCCCTTGCATATGAGTATAAC